TCCTAGTTCGACTCCAGCTCAGGCTCTTGTGCAGCGCAATTGCATTTGAATTGGCTGCATGAGTCCATAAACTGCAGCCGATCAATCGCTGCAGCGCTTGAGCTCTGCTCTGTCCCCCCCTCAGTGATAGACACGATCGCAGTAGTAAAATACCGGGTATAGACTTAGTAGATCTTCTGCCTGCTGCCTTGCAGCCAGGCGGCGGCACGTTGACGACATGTCTGCCCAAGCTCGCGGTGGTGCATCTTCCAATCTGGTTGGGGCCATTGCACCACCACCCGTACCGCCCGCTCGCTCCACACGCTCGCTGCCTGATTGCTGTCGTTTGTTGCAGTTGTTAAGAGTTGTAGCTTTCATGTCTTAGCCACACTTTTTGACCAACATTTTGTGTTGGTTTTAGCTCTGGCCAACCTTTGTGCCTTGGCTCTGCCAATGTCTGTGTCTGAGTCTGAGGCTGCGACTGACTCTGAGTTTTTCTCTGCTGATGCCCAAATCGTTTTGTGGGTGCTCATTGATCGCCTGCGCTACTTTCCGAAAATTGCCACAGACGTGCCTCTGTGCCTTGTAATTAACAGTTTCGTACGCTGAGACCTCTCTTTGATCAGAATCATTTTTTGGGCGCGTTTTAGCTTAACCTCTCTTTCCTTTTGCCCACTCGCTCATAACTGAAATGTTCAATCAGTTAAGCCTAGATACAAGATTCAGCTTCGATCAAACTGTCGAGATATTCAATTTTCTTTGGCGAAACAGACTAAGGTTACGCCTTACAATATGAAATGAATGCGCTTTATAATAAAAGTTATTTTTAATGAATTTTTTTATATTAAAAAAAAATACCTTAAAAATACCAGAGCAACATTTTATTAAATTTTCTCAGAATAAAATTAGTAATTTAATGAAAAGGTCTATAAAAATTCAATTATTTTTGAGCCTTATATAGATAATATAAATATATATAATATATATTTTTATATTTATTTTTCATATTTTTGGTATATTTTCTCTTTGCCAAAGACTTTACTGTGTCATTCCATATATAATTCCCTTGCAACTTCTCCATTTTTCTGCCTCTTCTTCTAGCTCCTCCATAACTATGTCACTAAGCAAATACCTGCCATTTTCATGTTGCATTTCTTGTCAATTTTTGGCGAACAACAACTCTTACAAATGGCGCTCGATTATAAATTCATAGCTGACCCCACATGAACCCAGCCCAATGGCTCGAACCATATCTGCGGGCATTTGTCTTGTTGCCTTGCATTTTCCTAATGCTTATTAAAACTAAATAAAGTTATAACTGTTACCAAAAGCAGACACGAAGTCCAACAACGTACTAGTTGCTGGCCATAAAAACTATATAATAAAATATAATGCAGCAATTCATAATTTTTGGTTAAACAGCTTAACCTTTACTTTGGTCCGTTTTGTGGAAGCGGGCAGGAGGGGGCGGAGCCTATGCCACGTTCTTGTGTGACCAAAAAAAAAAAAAAAAAAGCAACAACAAAATCTGCTCCTTATTCGATATGCATGTTGTTGTAACTGCATTTGCTGTTGCTGTTGTTGTTGTTGTTGTTATTGGCAGCACAATTCGGTTACGTAGTTACATCAACTACTTTACGGTCATTATGCATTTAAAACACGCGGTCACGATCTCCGCGCTGAGTTAGTAACTGCGCAGAAGGCAGCCCAGGCAGAGGTCCAAACAAAAGCCCAAAAAAAACACAAAAAAAGCAAAAATACAAAAACGAAAACCAAAACCAAAACGAACAAAATCAAAGCCAAGTTAAGCCATAGTTACAGCCGCAGCCCGAGAAAGCTGCAGTTCGCTTCGGCTTCGGGCCGCATTTCTTTTGGCCAAATTCACAAACTGGAATTTCTTTCACTCCGTCGTCTTCTGCTGCATTTCAATGAAAATAAAATTTGTGCTTGACTTGGCTTATTGATTCGAATTGTAGCCAGATTTTTTATTTTTTTGGTTTAGCTTCTCCTTCTTCTCATGTCCTCTGGACTCGTTTTCTTTTATGATATTCGTTGTCGGTGCCTGGACTCCGGATCATCAAAACCTAATGGCCAAAGTCAATTGACAATTATTGACCATGGCCAAGTGAAATGATTCGCTCAGCTTTTCAATTCCAACTGGCCAAATCTAATTTGTAACTTCACGATTATTGGCCGAGTGGCCGTTGTTGCTGTTGTTGTTGTTGTTGCTGGTTGTTTATGAAATGAAATGGTTAATAATGGCTAATTGAATTTCTGCTGCCTTTGGCGACAAATCATTTATCTTGATTTACGCGCATTGTGTGGCTGGAGGCTGCCTTTTAGCCAGCATCGCAGTTAACGTTCAGCTTTGTTTATGATTTGTTTACTCTGTGGGCCAACTGCAAATGGCCTAAATGCAAGCCGAGCGTGCAGCGTGGAGAGTTTTCTTACTTGTCACAGTCCAGCTGCATTATAAATTACTTACTTACTGCTCAGTGACTCAGCTCAGAATTCCTTATAATTATATGCAACTTTTTTTTATTGATATTTATTCAGTTTTGCGGCACATTTAAGCTTGACTATTCACTTAGCAAACGACGGGAAACTAGTTAAATGCATGTAAACATTTTTTGAGAATTTTAAATTTGTTGAATTTTGCACTTTACACCGGCATTTATTGACTTTTTATACGGATTTATAAATGATAAAAGATCGTTTAAAATATTTAAATATATGGTGGAGGAATGTAATTAAATTTAAGTTAATGAATGTATATTGCATAATTTTATTTTGTAAAAAATGAATTATTTAAAAAAATGTATTTAAGGTTTATTTAAGACAGCAATTAGGTATTCACAATTAAATAGTCGATTTTGGCAGAATATTATGAGTTAGGTAAAACTTTATCTAATAATTACTTTATTTATTTAAGGACAATGTAAAGGTAAAACACTTAATAGAAGAAGAAAAAATATTTATTAAGAAGCTAAATCACCAATATTTTTCAAATTTATCTATGCATTAATATGCCTAAAGATCAATAGCTAGGATTTTTATTTACCGCTAAGTATATAGCCGCATATCTTTATGAGCCGCTTGAACGGTTATAGCAAATTTTTATCGGATATGTTAGCGATCAGCTAGTGTTGCCACCAGAGGAGTTAGCTCTAATGAACCCATTGCCGATTTGTTTGACTCATTTTACATTGTGGCTCAATGTATTGGCTTTCAATTGACAGCTGGCAACCAGAAGTGGGCTTGCGTGCAGCTAAAGCTACAGCTACAGCTACAGCTACGACCAATCCAAATGCATAATGAAATTCAAAGAGCTGAAATGCGAGACGTTTAAACGACACATTACGTCCCATAGCTGGCATTTTGCAATGCAATGCATGCAATCAAATTCAAATTCAAATTCGAATTCGACTTCAACTTTGAATTCACACTGCAATCGGATACGTTTGACGAAGAGTTGGACATCCAGCGATGGCCAAATCACCAAAAACACAAAATCGCCAAATGGCCAATTCATTAAACCGCAAACCAGCTGCGCGCCAGCCAACAAGAAGTAGAAAAAAAAGAAGGAAAACTGTTATAAATGCCACTTGTAAATTTTGCGTAATGTGCAAAAGATACTTTATGTTTACATTTAGTTGCTTTGAGCTAAAGATACTTTTTGCTTGCTGACTAATTAAGTAAATGGAATATGAGCATCCATTTGAGAATACTTCAAGCTATGCAAATTTACAAGTGCTGATGTCTAATTTGAATTTCAAATAGGCGCAGCACCACAAACACACAGATATACATATATACAGCTCGTGTGTGCGCAATTTGTTGTTGTCTGGCAATACTTAAAAACGGGCATAGATACACACACGAGTACACATACATATATTGATAAGCAAACTTTTGTGTCGCTGGCAATTAACACGTGACGGCACACGCTGCGTATGCGCAATGTCTTTAGCTTTAACAACCAGTCAACAACATAGAGAAGAAATCTCCTCAGCCGCACCCCAACCTCCCGCGCGCCCTGTCTTGTTTATGGCCTTTGTCTAGAGGGGCGTTGCCGTTCAGTTTAATTTTCGTAAATTTAATTAAACGGCCTCTTGTTCGACTTCGAGTCCGAGTCCTCAATTGGACATAAATCATGCGAGTGACGTAATTCCGTCATGTGCCATTTTCTAGCTACAGTTATTATTGATGTTGTTGTGTGTGGGCGTGGCCTCAAGTAGACGCTGGAAACCCATTCGCTGGACACGTATCTCGCGACAAGCGCCAGGTGAACTGCACAGGCTCACAGACCATTTACACCCATAGGGAATCGCTCGTAGCTCGAGGCGTTCAATATTAAATGAATCTCTCTTTTTCTATTCTTATAGATGCCTGCGGCCTGTCGGATGTGACACACATTGAATCCCTGCAAGAGAAGTCTCAGTGCGCCTTGGAGGAGTATTGTAGAACGCAGTATCCCAATCAACCCACGAGGTTTGGCAAATTGCTGCTCCGATTGCCATCGTTACGCACCGTCTCCTCACAAGTAAGTAGAATAATCAATCTATCATAGATTAGAATATAGAAGAAAAACTAACATAATTAAGCTCGATTGTTAAACACAAAGAAATGCAGCAATACTTATGCATATTTTTCATTTCCTTCATTTCCTTTTGTCTTCTCAATTAACCAGGTCATTGAGCAGTTGTTTTTTGTGCGTCTAGTCGGGAAAACGCCCATCGAAACGCTGATACGCGACATGTTGCTGAGCGGCAACAGTTTCTCTTGGCCCTATCTGCCTTCGATGTGACACACAATGTGGCGCCAATTGACAACAACTTGATCATCAGCCGCAGCTGTGGCGGCCGCTGTGGCAGCCAATCATAGCAGCACTACGCTCAACATCAATCCCTGCAACAACATCACTAGCAACAGCAACAGTAACAGCAACAGCAACAGCAACATTGGCGGCGTCATTGGCGGTGGCTGTGGGGGCATTGCTGTTGCTGGCAATCACAGCCACGATCACAGCAATGTTGCTGCCATGCATGCAACATATGGCAACGGCGGCAACAACTGCGGCAACAGCATCCACAGCGTTTGCAATCAGCAGCAAATCAGCAACTACAGCAACAGCAACAACATCAATGGCAGCAACAGCAGCAGCAACAACAACAGCAACATGAGCGCCAGCGGTTTGTTTGGCGCCGGCTATGGCAACGATTATATGGCCAATGCAACAGCGGCTGCTGCATATGTGACACCAGCAACCGCAGCCGCTGCGGCAGCAGCAATTGCAACAACAACAACAATGCCAGCGGCAGTGAACACAACAACAATGCTGTCTAATTACTGCGATGCTGCGACTATGATGATGGCCGCGGCCGCTGTCAATGCAAATCAGTGCCTGCAACAACACCACCAGCGGCTGCTGCTGGCCAGCAGCAGCAACAGCAATAGCAACAGCAGCAGCAATAGCAACAGCAACAGCAACAGCAACAGCCATGAGCAACTGGCCACGGCAGCGGTCACGGCCTCCGCCTCCGCCTCCTCGTCCTCGTCGTCAGCGGGCTCGCTGTCATCGGCATCGTCCACACCGACAGCGACGACTATCGCGACAGCCCAGCAGCAACAGCAAGAGCAACAGCAACAGCAGCAGCAGCAGCCGCAACAACAACAGCAGCAGCAGCAACAGTCGCTGCCATCGCCGCCAAATTTAATCGATATCAGTGAAGTTCCTCTCATTGTGGATGTCAAGTAGTGTAATTATTTATGCATATTGAAAAAAAGAAAAAAACGAAAAAAAAAAAAACAAAAAAAAAAATCTCTAATGAAAAATGTAAAAAAAAAAACGAGAATCGTGTAGCTTAATTGTTTTAAAATCTCCTTTAGTTGTTGTAACTTGTACATAAACAATTTTCAACTTTCACCCAGGCGCCCACAACTGACAGCCGAATGCGGTTTTGTATCTTGTAGATACAATGCAGCTCCCTGGCTAAAAGTCGCAAGAAGAAAAATACCGAAATTCCTGAACGTAAAACGCTCAGAGATTTTTCCAGGTTTTCTTTTCTTTTTTTTTGTGGGCATCCATCAGTTCTACGTCTATGTCTGTATAATATTTAAAGGCACTGAGTTCTACTTAATTTTAATGCAAATGAAATCTAAACTAAACTTCTTTATATACCCTCCCACAAGCAATGAAACATAAACAACAAAAAAATACAAAATCTAAAAAAAGACAAATGTAAATGTATGTTAGGCAAAATATTTATGTATTTCTTGTAGCATATATATACAAATATATATACATATACATACACTTATATATTTAGACAGCTATATCTACAACATATAGCTCCATGCGTTCTATAGTGTACTTTAATCTCTAATCTCCCAGTGGTTTGCAGAATTATACCAAAAATATATTTTTACTTTATGTGTGGCAATTATATTTTGTGTGTGCTTTAGCAATGTTTTTTATTTTTACTTTATTTTACTTTAAGTAAAATGTAAAAGGAAAACAAAATCAAATCAAATATCGTAAAGAAATTATGAAAATCAAATTCTCAGCTGCTCCAGGCCATGTCTCAAAGATGTGGCAAAAACTTTATGGAAAAAACAAAAACAAAAATTTTATTTTTTATTAATTTACAATGCAAAATTTAGCTAATTTTTTATTTTTTATATTAAATTAAAAAAAAAAATGCGGGCAATACCAATTCAGTGCAAGTTTTCAGTTTTAAAACGATCTTCTAGACTAAGCATTATTTTATTTATATGTATAAATATAAACGTTTTATATATTTTATAATAATAAAAAAATTGCGTTTTTAAAAGAAATTTTCTTATTGTTTTTTTAGGGGGTTTCAGTTAAATAAATATATAAGCCATATCAAAATAGTAATTGTAAATTTTTATTTTCATGGGTTTTATCAGAATTTTTATGTTTTTTTTTTTTATTTATTTATTTATTTATTTATTTATTTTTTTTTTTTCAAGCAACTGCAGCCAAAGTTTTGTACAAAGAATTAAGTAAAACACTTAAAAAATTGAAATTTAGCAAAAAGAAAACAATTATGAACTACATTATAAGCACTTTCGTCATTTCGTTCATAGTCAAGTGTTTGTGTACTACTGATAAGGCAAAACGTTCTGTAAATAATATTTAACTATATAGTATAAAAAAAAAAAAAATAGTTGAAAACAAAATTGCAGTTACTTAATGAAAAGGCATCGCATGAGCGCGTGTAAATAAATATTCGAGGTGCGAAATTTGTAAATGAATTGATAATAAATGTCAACCGAATGGTAAATAAATTGCAATAAACATTCAGAGAGTAGAGCTGGCCAAGTTCAGCTGTAGCTATATGCTGTAGATCAAGTACTTATATACATATTAACCTTATCACAGCTGATAGTCGGCAGTGCGAAAGTTTGTCTGCGTGTGTGTGTGTGTGTGTGAGTCTGTGTATATATGCATATGTGTGCGTGTGAATTGACATTCGTAGAGTGCAGCTAAACATGAAATTTCCGCATTATACAAACATGTTGATTGCTGTCATCGAAAATATATAGTATATGAATATATATATTTAAGTATTAATTAGTTGAAACGAAAAGAAAAGCCGTTTGTTTTTGATAATTTCGATATGGAAATCAAATGTCAGTTGAATTAATTTTATTTAATAAAAATACAAAAAATAACAGAAAACATTTTTGATTGATATCTTCCTCTCACTCGCTCTCTCTTTCTCTCTTTCTTACTTTCTCCCCCTGTAGAGATATCTCTATTCTCTGTCTCACTATCTTGCCCCATATCATAATTTGCGTTGCATGTGCTGCAGAATAAATGCCGCAGTCATGCTGCAACTGAGGTGCGACCCCTATACAAATGACCCTCGGCATGGGCATGGGTATGAATCGACATGGGCATGGGGCAATTACCTCGTACTGCTCCAAAATTGCCAATAATGAGACATGCAGCTCGCGCGCTTAGCCTCTGTAATGGATTGCCGTGGATTGGTATCAATTGCAGGTCAATTCCTCAACGCCACGAAATTTCACGCGCCGACAAGATAATCGTCGCACATAATGCCGGGATTCCCTACTTCGCTCCAAGCGAGCATCGAGCATCGAAAGGATCGTGCAACGCAGACAGCGTGTTGCCAGTTGCTCCATTGCCAGTTGCCAGTTGCCAGTTGCATGAACAAATTGCGGCTGTCTTGCGGGCCGTCGCTGCCGTTGCCTTTTGCCGAATGACAAATTAGATATCGAAAACAACAATTTGATCGACAGGCGATCGCCACCGAAACAAGCCGAAAAGTACAGCTAAAGTACAGGGGGAAAAAAAATAAAAGATTGCTCTGCGATTCGAACCGTGAGTCCAAATTACCGCAGCACACAGCAAGTAAGACTACTCCAATCGGGTATGCTCGATCAGTAAATACCTCACATCGAAAAACTATGGCTTTTTATGATGAGAGATGATGAGAAAATATATAAACTAAATATATATTTAACATATAAATTCTATATTTAGCAATAGACCAAAATTCGCTTAATATTTAGGCACTTCTTTCATCCGCCTGTTACATAATCTTGCCCAAACACATTATATCCTTCGTAGTGATTCAGGGCATAATAAGAAAGGCATTTTCTGCGGTTTGGAGCCAGCGTATCCAAAGGAGTTGATGAAGGTGTTGATTTGATTACTTTTATGTAAGCGACGCGGACAGAGCCGCAGTTGAACATATTTCCTCCAAATCGTGATCGCGGCAATTTTGGGATGGATCGATTCCGAGTTGCCTTCAATTGTGCCGACTGTCTGTGAGGGCGGGCGGGCGCAGATGGGGCGATTCTGTGCGCCTGCCCCGCGGCCAGTGTCTAAATGTGAAAAATGATTTGACTTTAATGGCCGCCACTGATCAGATGATCATCTCTGATCATCGGATCGTCGGGTGATGAGCACAGCGCAGCCTTGGACTCGCTGTAGGTGTTAAGAATTTGTGACCAATTGGCCAGACAATGCCCAGTGCTGCCACCTTCAGTCGCAAGCGGTGCCAGACCGTTAACGGTTGCAACTATTTTGCATGCCTGGCGATCATTTCTGCCCCGCATCTGGCTAGGCAAATGATTGATTCGTTCTGCGGAGCTGCGAAACGTGGGAATCTGGCTGACTGAATCGAAGGTGTGTCCGCGCACTACATTTCGTACTGCAAATTATGATCTTTACGAGCTGCAAATGAGTTATGCAAAATCAGCTAAATTGCGAGCGCACAGAATGGCCTAGAGTGAACCACGCTCCCGCGCAATTTCTGAAATTACTCACTTTGTGGTGTTAACCGTCTGCAACTAATTTTGATTCGCATAAAAGTGCAAAATGTGAAATTTTGATATGCCTTCGATTTTGCTAGTTAGTTTTAAAAGTAAATAATATTTGGAGATACGAAGTAAATGGAAGAAAGTGAATTATATATAAAATAAAATTTGAATTTGGTATAAAGAAAAATATGTAGAAATAATTAAATATGATCAAATGTGGGATAAGATGAAGATAAGTATACATAAATAAATATTTTTGTGTTAATCAAATATAGACTAAGATTAACTGAATTGAATAAAGTTTAGTTGAAGGAAAATTGTTGTAATAAAAATAAATATGAATAGCTAAAATCATTTAGTGTTAAGCAAAGAACTTTCTTTATTTCTAGAATTAAATTAAAAATGAAGAACATATTATATGTACAGCTCTTCGTAGCTGTTGCTGCTGCTGAGTAGAATTTGCTTAACTTATTAATTATAATTTTAATATAAAAGGAAAGACTTAAGATCTTCGTCAATTCTCTGCCTGCCAAATGCAGCATCTCTTCCACTCCTAAGCTAGCCAAATAAAATAAAAACCGTTTAATATCTCAACTATAATTATGTTTTTTTTTTCTCTATTTGGATAATTTATTACTGCCTGTTGATTTTTCCAAATTCACACGAAATATTTATCAAATTAAAGGCACAAAAAAAAAAAGAAAAGATATTTGCTAAGGCTGAGCATAGCTACTGCATGTTGCTTGCAACACTAAGCAGCAGACAACAACAAAGCGCATGCTACACTGGCATATGCATACACAAGCACACACACACACACTGACACACACACACAGAGAGTGTCTGGCAGACAGACAGAGTGGCCCGCACAAAGCCGTCACAAAGACCCAAAGATATTAGTGGGCATTTTTCAATCCTTTGACGATGGTCAAAATAAAATATTATTTCGCGCGTTAATACGCAAAAATAAGCGACTGGTTGGGTGGCTGCCACGGCTAGGCGGGTGGGCAAGCCGCGCGCTGCTAAGAAACCACCTATACTCCTGCTCCCCTCCTGCTTCTCCTCTCTGCTCCTCTAGCTTTTTGAGTGCTGCTTGGCTGAGAAGTTACGATGGGGCGCTCACAGTGTCGACTCTGGCAATTGCAACGTGAATTTGCGACTCGTTAAAAGCGCGTGGCACTGCATCGGGGCCAAGGATCGGGTTAGGCAGTGCAGCCAGTACCGTATGCCAGTGTGCCTGGGCCCGGGCTGTTGCCTGTGCTTGTGGCTGGACCATCGCCATGGGTGGGCCTGGCCAAGACGCAAAACACTTTTGACAATTTGTACTTGTTGCGGCGGCTGTGACGCGTTATAAATTATTAAAATAGAAAATTGCATTCAATTTCGATTTTTCATTCTTCTTCTGTTCATGCGGTGTGAAATATGTGTAACTGGCAAACGAATTCCCCACTTCCTAATTTATGACTTATGAAAATTGCCAAGATATTTATACGCACGAGCAAAGTCTCTGCGGTCTGCTAATTAAATTATTCAATTGCGTCGGCTTCCATGAGAGCAAACATCACGCTTCCAGCCCTTCTGCTTCCCCCCACCCCCTCGATTATAAAAAAAAAGGACCACATGTCCGAGTACGCTTTGGGGTATTCAATTTCATACGCTTACAATAGATTTTATGTAAATTCTCGTAATGTGACAAAACAGGGAAAACACGAACACACACACGAGCACACATTTCGGTGACAGTTAGACAAAAACATAAGCGCACTTCCTGGAAGGGGGGGCAAACGAGTTGCAGGGGAGTACGGGACTAAGGCGCTGATGTGCCTAATGAAATTGGACACCAAGCGTTGTCCACTTTGTTCCTCTTTGAGCCACATAAATTAATGTATCG